CTTTCTTGATAATCTCCTTTGACACACAAAGTTTTAAATTTTTATAAATTCCAGCTTACTTATTTTTTCTCTTGTTGCTTGTGCTTGTTTTTTCTTTTGTTGCTTGGTGTCAAATCCATCGTCGTGAAGATTTCTTCTTTGGTTGTCTTCTAAGGGTTCGGTTGTTTTAACTCTTGAGTCCATGTTGAATTAATTTTTGTATATGTTATAGAGTTGGAGTACAAATTCTTTTGCATGTAGACACCCAGTCGTCCTCGCACCATTTGTTGAAAAGATAGTTCTTTCCCTTTTGAAATGTCTTGGTACACTTGTCAAAAATCAGTTGACCATGGGTTCATTTCTAGACTGTCAGTTCTACTCTACTGATACATCTATCCTGTACTAGTACTAAACAGTCTGGTTACTGTAGCTTTGTGATGTTTTGGAATTGGGAAGTGTACCCTCTACTCTGTTCTTTTCCAGGATTTTAAGAGTTTGTGAAGGACTGATATATATTCTTTCAACTTGTAGAATCAACCAGTAAGGTCTTCTCATCCTGGGCTTTAACTTAGGGGAATTGTTTTGAATGCTTATTCGATGTCTTGTTATATTGTTGAGACTTTCTGTTTCTTTTGTGAGTCAGTTTTGGTAGCTTTGTATATTTATAGAATTTTCTTTTTACTTTGAGAGGTTGACCTAGAGTTTGCAATGTATATTTAGAACTAGTGCAAAGGGAGCACTATACTGCTTTACAGGTAGCATGAGTACCTTATAATAACAGAGTACTTGTAATTCTTCCCTCCCATCCTTCATATCCTTGCTGTCATTCATTTCATTTATACATAAGCATTATATATATGCCCATCTATAAGCATATCTATCTATATGCTTTTTTAAGATTTTATTTATTTGAGAGTGAGAATGAGGGAGACAGAGCACGAGGTGGGGAAGGTCAGAGGGAGAAGCAGAGTCTCCGCCCAGCAGGGAGCCTGATGCTGGACTTGATCCTGGGACTCTAGGATCATGACCTGAGCAAAAGCAGTCTCCCAACCAACTGAGCCACCCAGGCGTCCCTATATAGCTTTTTTATAAGCATATAGATATGCTTTTTTATAAGCATATATATATATACACACACATACTTATCTTAATTATATGTGTGTGTGTATATAGATATCTATATATATATACATAATTGAATACATTGTGGTTTTTTAAAGACGATTTTATTTATTTATTTGACAGAGATCACAAGCAGGCAGAGAGGCAGGCAGAGAGAGAGGGGGAAGCAGGCTCCCTGCCGAGCAGAGAGCCCGATGTGGGGCTTGATCCCAGGATCCTGGGAACATGACCTGAGCCAAAGGCAGAGGCTTTAACCCACTGAGCCACCCAGGTGCCCCAACCTTCTTCTCCTTCTGATATTCTCTTTAAACGTGTTATCCCACAGTTCGTAGGTATTCTGTAAAGTCTTTTCTTTCTGCTTGCTTTTCAGTTTCAAAATCTATCGATAGACTCACAAGTTCATTTCTGTTACAGTGTTTTGGATTGCTACCATTTCATTTTCATTCTAAGTATTTCTGTCTTTCTGCTTACAATACCCATCCATTCTAGTATGTTGTCTACTTTCATCAGAGCTCTTAGCATATCACTCATAGTCCTATTAAAATCCTAGTCTGATAATTCCAGCATTTGTGCCATACTTGACTGTGGTTCCAGTGTTTTCTTTGTCTCTTCAGACTGTGTTTTTTGCCTTTTAGTATGCCTTGTAACTTTTTGTTGGAGTCCATACATGACATACTGAGTAAAAGGAGCTGCAGTAAGGAGGCCTTTAGTAATATGGTGGTGAGGTGTGGGGGCAGGGGAGGGATTCTGAAGTCCAACGATTAGGTCTCCGTCTTTTGGTGAGTTTATGTCTCTCGATTGTGAACTTCACCATTGCTTCTCACGTCGTTTTCCTCCTTCACGTGGGACAGGAAGGCTAGAGGGAGCTGAGGTAGGGTATTTCCCTTCCCCTAGCTAGGTTAGGCCCTGGTAAAAATCTGATAGGTTAGGCTCTGGTAAAATAATTTCTCTCTTGAGGGCAGACCTTGTTAGGATGGACAGAATGCTCTGGTGTATTTCAAAATGGCTTCCTTTCCTTTCCTGCTTCTGAAGCAGGAGGGAAATTTTCCTCCTCTCTTCATTGTGACAGCCTGGGAGAGCTGCCAGAGGTACCACAAAAGGTGGGTGTGCTGCCCTGTGACTGGGCCCCCTGGGAGTTTGAACTCTCAGACTCGTCCACACTGTGCCCCCAGTAATTCAGTTACAACTCAGGTTTTCCTGCCCTGCTCCTGATCTCTGTGGAGGCCTATGCTCATGGGTTTCTGCTCCAGCAAGGTTTGATTTTCTGTATCTGCCTGCCTATCTCTCCACTCATGGGGGTAGCATTCCCTGCCCCCCCCGCCGTGGCCTCAATTCCCTGACAGATATAAGGGAACTCAGGCGGGTGTTTTTTTCCAGTTAGTTCAGCTATCGACTTACTGTTAGGTTGGAGTAATGACTGCCACGCTGCTTAAAGGCCGGACCAGAGACCGGAAGTCCTCTTTCTTCTTTTTCAATATGGACATTTACAGCTTTATGTTTGTCTGCTTTAACTGCATCCCAGGAGTTTTTAAATTTTTTTAATTAAAAAATTTTTTTAAAGACTTTATTTATTTACTTGTCAGAGAGAAAGAGAGAGTGCACAGAAGCAGGGGAAGTGGGAGAGGGAGAAGCAGGCTTCCCTGTTGAGCAGGGAGCCCGATGCAGGACTCGATCCCAGGACCCTGGGATCATGACCTGAGCTGAAGGCAGACTCTTAACAACTGAGCCACCCAGGTGTCTCCATGAGTTTTTTTTTTTTTTTTAAAGATTTTATTTTTTATTTATTTAGTTGACAGAGAGATCACAAGCAGGCAGAGAGGCAGGCAGAGAGAGGAGGAAGCAGGCTCCCCGCTGAGCAGAGAGCCCGATGCGGGGCTTAATCCCAGGACCCTGGGATCATGACCTGAGCCGAAGGCAGAGGCTTAACCCACTGAGCCACCCAGGCGCCCCCCCCATGAGTTTTTAATGTGTTTTCTTTTTTGTTCATCTCAAGACAGTGGCCTATTTCCTTTGTGATGCTTCAGCTTTCTGTGGGGGGGATCATTTCTGTTCTGTCACTGGATTAGTTTCAGAGAGCATTAGTGCCTGCAGGCCCCGGGATTTATTGATATTTTCACCTTTTGAGAGTAGTTTCTGAGGAATAGAGGAACTGAAAGGAGACATGAGTGGCTGGGGAGGAGGGGGTATGACTTAAGCCTTTGATTTTGAAGACACGCTGTGGCCTGTGGCCCCTAAACCAGGGATTCTCAACTGGGGCGATACCGTCCTTCAGGTGGCGTTCGGCAGTGTCTGGACGTGTGTTTGGTTGCCCTACGGTGGGGGGGGGGTGCAGCTGGCATGTAGTGGGTCACGGACACTACTCAGTGTCCCATAATGCACAGGGTGGCCCTCACAGCCAAGAGTTGTCTGGTCCAAAGTATTAGCGCTGCCCTGGAGAAACTTTTTTTAACCCTTTCCATTGGTGGGCCTGTTTCCTGCTCACTCAACACCTACCTGTCCAGTGTCTCAGTCCCTCTTCACAATGGTCCCTGAGGTAGGTGAAATGTCACAATCTGAGGTGAGGCAAGTGAAGCCTTAAAACTGTGGCCACCTGTCCATCAGTAGCAGAGCCTGGACGACCCCCCCCCAAGTCTGGTGGTTCCCCCCAAAGCCCACAGTGACCGAGGCCTCCGCTCGCTTTGTCCACTCCACCTTTCCAAAAGTGGACCATCATGCATTGTCCTGTGAGTCTCTTTCTGGAATCCTGGTTGCCTGAGAGGCTCCTCGCAGCCGAGAATGCTTCACACATAGTCCTGTGGTCCTCTATTTAACGCTCCTCTCTGCAAACAGAGTGGAAACTCCCCGCAGGCCTCATGCCATTAGGCATGGAGTGGGCCTGCAGCACATTTCTGCCGAATGAATGAGGAGCTAGGAGAGAAAATGCACCGAAATGTTAGCTTGGCGAGTTCTAGGAGCTTGAAATGTAGGTTGTAGCTACTTCCAGAAGAGGCTGGGGAATGGGGCAGGACCCCAAGACTGGTGGGGCAAGAGACATTACGTTCGGTACGTTGGTGGTTTTGCCTAGAGGAATTTAATTTGGTTATTTTTCAGAATACCAGTAGGCATTATTCCACTATTAAATTCCTCCCATTGGGGCGCCTGGGTGGCTCAGTGGGTTAAAGCCTCTGCCTTCGGTTCAGGTCATGATCCCAGGGTCCTGGGATTGAGCCCCACATCGGGCTCTCTGCTCAGCAGTGAGCCTGCTTCCTCCCCACACTCCACCTGCCTCTCTGCCTACTTGTGATCTCTGTCAAATAAATAAATAAAATCTTAAAAAAATTAAATTCCTCCCACTTCAGCTTCCTCTTCTCTTTGAATTGTTCATACTGGTACTTTTTACCTTTCCTAAAAGACCAGTTCTAACTCTATGTAACGATTCACTGTGGCGTCGGGTTCTGTCCCCTAAAGCTCTTATCGAAACATAACTTAAAGAAAAATCTTTTGTGGTATTGGACCTGTTATTACCCTGACATTGAATCTGTATGTCTTAAGGTAGCTGGTCTCAATGTCTCATCCGTAAAATGGGAATATGATCCTTTGTTAGCTGAGACCTTTCCCTGAGGATAAATGATTTAAAGCCCATGAAAGCATTCCCAGCAGTGCTGTGTAAATGGCCAGGTCCTTCCGGTTATGAGTAACTGTGAGAAACTATATTCATAGGAATTATGCAATATCACCAGTAGTCGTGCAATTATTCGTTGGCTGGAATGAAGTTTGTAATTAGTTTGCATTCAGATTTTGTGCTTCTTACCTACTGGGGTGCTAGCCTAGTAATTTGATTGAAACATCTAAAGCTCTATGTTCCCTCTGGCTCTCCTGATGAATACAAGATCTTGACCTTGACATTTGTTTCTCTACAGGTGTTACAGAACATTTTGGACACTGAAAAGGATTATGCTAAAGAACTTCAGTCTCTGCTTGTCACTTACTTAAGACCCCTGCAGTCCAATAACAAGTAAGATTTACATTTTCAGCCCCTTGCTAAATAAAGCCAGATAACGTCAGCAGCTAGAGTCATTGCTCTCATGTCACTGAATAATTGATTTTGCCCTTTAGAAGAATTTCCACAGATCACAGGTTGCCAAGAACATGGTCAAGGCAACGGAAATTATACAGGAGGTTGCTGCTGGAGAGCTTGGCTTTCTGTCTTCTCTGGCCGTGGAAGGAATGAGCGAGCACGTCTGCATGTCTGTCTGTCACAATTGTCATCTCGTACATTTTAAAAGCGATGTGTGCAGTTTTACCTTGCACAAAAGGGACCTGCTGGTGTTTTTATGCAGAAAAGCGTGTAAACTGGAAAGTTATGTGCTCCCCCTGACCTTTGCGTGCCGGGGCAGAAACTCTTTCCTATGGTCTGAGAGTGGAAAGAGTGTGGCATTTTGTGAATGTTTGCAAGGGCACTTAGAACTCGAGCTCGCGTTTCCCCCAGGACGAAGAGGATGTGTTTACGTGTTTTGTCTTGTCTTAAATAAAATACTCAAACTTTATTCAGGTCTTAGAAGTGACTGAGGTTTGAGTTGAAAACTTTGTTTTCATGAAAGAAAAATATGGACCGTGTGTGTGTGTGTGTGTGTGTGTGTGTGTGTGTGTGTGTGTAGGCGCGGCCTGTTTAATAACTATTGGCTAATGGCATTTGTTTGCGTTTTTATTTTAATTGATTACACTTTACTAGGGATTATAATCTAGAAGGCGAATAGAATATTGCACCACGGGTACACATACTAGAGGACAAAAGCCTCCCCTTTTCCCTCAGGAAGAGTTTACTCTTGGACTTCAGGCTTAAATAAGTTTAACATATTTTGCGATCCTCCCCCCCCCGCCTTTTTTGCCAGATCGTGTTTGCTAAGGCAGAAGGTCTTGCTCAGTTTCCCATGCCGCTGTGGGAATCTTGCTTCGGTATGAAAGGATTTTGTATTCCCGAGTTTTCTAAGAGTCAAAATGCGATCAACAACAAAGTGTCTTTTGTTGTTATTATGTAAAACGCGAAGTGAACCCTGTGAATCATACTTCATAGAGCTGAGTGGAAGGAACCTCAGTGAATCACTGGGTCTAGTCCCCATTGAACAAATGAGAAAAGTGAAGTCCAGAGAGGTTTACCGCCGGCCATGCCCGCCACACAGCCAGTCAGTGGCCAGACTCGACCCAGATGCCACCTGCTGCACCTCCTGCCACCGACTGAAACGCGCCTTCCATTTTGTGGAGGTGACAGGCAGAAACAGGAAACCGAGGTGGTGGCCCTGGGAGGAGAGATGATAAGATTTCAAATGAAAGAGGCAAGGAGCCTGACTCAGAACTCCCCTGATGCCGTATAAATTCAGAACACAGTCAGGGTCACTTTCCACCCGGCTGTCTGGCGGACCCCAGAGTGACTGGAGCAAACCAGACTGTTCACCGTCTGATCCTGGGCAAGCCAAGAAGGCCCCCTCTGTGATCAGGTTCACATCGGCCTGCCAGTTAGCTTCTTGGGGCCATGAGAGAGGGAAGTCAGGGAAGCCGGCCGGCTGAAGGTTTCGCTTTTGTCCCCCATGCTGGGGGTTTCCCAGCTTGTGGTTCAGAAGGGCACGATGGCAGAGGAACTGGGCACTTCTGGTGCTCAAGGGGTTACTGGTAATGTTCGCGTGGGGCTTCCTTTGCTTGGTCAGCAAAAATTACTCTCTTGGAAACACTCCCCTTGTATTATTACATGAAGAAGAAAGAAGACGTGGCCGCCGCTGGCCTTTTAAATCTTCAGGAATGGTGTGTGAGAGCAAGGACTCTGGAGCTAGAATGTTGTGGTTTAAATCCTGGCTTCACCCTTCCCAGGCTTTGTGATGTTGGGTGATTTGCTTAACCCCTCTGTGCCCAGGTCTCCTTCCGGGTAAGATGGGAGACAACAGCACCTACCTCATGACCTTGTCGTCAGGTTCAACTGAGTTATTTGGGAAACGCCTGCAGGGCTGTTAAGAGCTGGGTGAGTGGTGTTGGCGGTGTGTTACCACCTACCATTTGGGAGAGGAAGAATGGAGAAAATTCATCGTACAGGGGCTCTCCATAAAACCATGGTTTTATCAGCCGGCCTTTATTTACTCCATTCCCTTCCACAAACAAACCAACAAACCAGTACTATTTTCTTCTCCTCTACTTCTTCCGATAAAGAATTTTTTGTTGTTGTTGATTTATGAGCATTTTACATCGGGAGAAACTGGATTTTGTGGTTTTCCCCTGTGCCGTCTATGAGCCTATATAATACCTTTCAATTATTCTCCCGGTTCCTCTAGAAGAGAATACTCCAAATTGTTTACATTTATCCCCAGCCGTGATGGATTTTGCCTGTTGAGGTACTTAGATATTATACACTTGTTACTTGTCCACTCATCGCTTGTAAAACACCTAAATGTCTTTAATAAACACTTGTTTGCTCTAGATCATTATTTTTATTGTAGAAAAAGGAAATCAAGGAAGGACGCTTTTAAATGTTGTTTAAGACCACAGAGCTGGTGTAAATTAAAAAGCAAAAGTTAAAATGTAGGGATTGCTTCCCTCGTGCCGTTGGTCAATTTTTTAGCAGGTTATCAGCTCACCAGACTAGCAATGGGTAACGGGAATCCTCCTGAAGTTCTATCCACTGACACTGTGTATTTTTTTTTTCAGTCTAAGTACTGTGGAGTTTACATCTTTATTGGGGAACTTCGAGGAAATATGCTTGTTTCAGCAGACGCTCTGTCAAGCCTTGGAAGAATGTTCCAAGTAAGTACTACCCATTGCCCTTAGGATGGCTAGCAACACCATTTTCTTTGGCGTGTTTTCTTTTCCTGCTGGCTGCTGTCTTAGATAGGGATACTTTTAATCTACTCACTTGTTACAGCGTTGATGAACTGTCCCAGTACAGAGAAAAGGCACCAGGGAGAGCCAAACCCCTGGTTGTATATCAGGGCTCTACAAGCAGTAAACCATTTCTGACTTTATTTAAAAATCATTATCGGTTTACTGCTCCTGGTCAATATGAGAGACAAATCAGGTCTCCATCGACCGGGGATGATGCCTGTGACATTGATTCGATGTCTCCTTTTGTACATTGCCAATTACTTGGGAAAGTTAGTCAGGTGATTCATTCAGTTGCATAAGCTGCTTTTTCTCTTTCAGTCACACCTGGTAGCTTGTTAACACTTGAAATACACAAAAAGTTGGGGAAGGGAAGTATATCTTGATGAGAACCACAGTACATGTTGGTGGTCAGCTTGGTGGTTGAGGACTGCAGTGATCATCAGGCCGTATAGTTCTGTAGCAAGATGAGTTTTCCAAGCACCGTGTCTCAGAGAAGTTGGCGACTTTCATCGTCTCCAGGGAAATCTGGGTGACTGCCTGTTTCTTGAGCTTTCTGGGACACAGGCGGTCATCCAGGAAGGAAGATGGTTAAGGCCTGAGGAACCATCCTAAATGCTGTTAGGGATCCAGCTTGTTGATGTGGAAAGATAAGTCACTATGTGAGAAGAACCAATTACAAGCTAGATTTCTAATCTTTGTTTTCCATTTTATCGAGAAACATGTAGAAGGAAGACCAAAGAATATGCCAGAATTATCCTAATAGCTATCTCTGAATGGTGGAATGCTGAGTAATTTTTCTTTCTTGCACTTCTCTGATTTGTCTACAAATGAAAACAGGTGGCTTGTAACTCAAAAAGATTAAAGTCATGAAGCCATCCTGCCTGGCAACCCCCAAGCCACTGAGACTACATAATACTCCGTTGTGGTGTGTCAGTTTGGGATTTGATTACTTTTGTCTGTACTTGAACTTCATATAAATTAGCCAAGAGTATTTTGTGTGTGTGTGTGCATGTGTGTGTGCCTGGCTAAAATTTTGAATATTGTAGTTTGAACAAATGTCTTTAAAAAACACTATCTGGTCCTTTCAAGTAAGTATCCAGCCCCTGTGTATGGGCACCACGTTTGGTGGCTCGAGTTTGGAGTGGTGGTCCAGTACCCCATCAAAAAAATAATAATAATAAAGTAGTGGTCAGGAACTTGCATTCCATGGCAAAAGTGTTATAATATAGTTTCTCTCTTCACTTTGGCAAAAGAATTCAAAAGGTTTGCGTGTTGCCAGGTTTGACTGGAAGCCTCCTTTATCTCCTGTTTCTTATTTTACATTCTGGGTTTTCATCTGTTTTACCTGCAGGTTTCCAGAAAACCAACACAGAGTCGGAGGTTGTCTATTGAACCTCATGCCTCATTTTAAATCTATGTACCTGGCTTACTGTGCAAATCATCCGTCAGCTGTCAATGTGCTTACACAGCACAGGTAAGTTGTTACCATTTCCCCAAAGAAGCGGTTCCACAGTGCGATCCTTTCCTAGGACCGCTTTGTTTGGCAATCCAAGGTCTCCCGTGGAACTTCTGATCATCCCCCTTCATCACTGCAGGAATTAATCTGTCATTATACAGATTGCACATCACCTCAACAGGTAGTTTACTGAGCATCTACTATGTGCACGGTCATGTGCTAGCTGATGGGGCTACAGTAGTCCATAAGGAAGAGGCAGTCCCTCCCCTCCTGGAGCACAGAAGCTTGAGAGAGATACGGACATGAAATTAAATGTCATAAACATGTGGTTTTACAAAAGCGTAATTAAGAAGATGCCGTGAGACTTTGCAATGTGGTAGCAGCTTCGTGTGGGGCGAGGGAAGGATCAAGGAAGGCTTTTCCTGAAGCCTAATTCTGTTCACATTCAGTGTTTTAGCCTTCGCCTGCCCCAGCGAATGGTTTGTCTCAGGTGCTGGCAGATAGCTAGAGTGCCTGGGTTCATCTCTTTGTCACTTTCCCTTTGGCTGGTGGGGGAAGTTTCCAGCAGTGCTGTGGCTCAAAGGCAGATACTCGTGAACACGGAAAGGTGGAAGGAAACTAGTAGTGTGAACTATCTGGCAAGCACTTTAAGCAATGGGCTGTGATAATTGTGCATGGAAATTTTTTCCGATGCATGGGGAACAACAAAACGGTATCTCCTTTAAGAGAGTCCTTGCAAGGGTCCAAGACAGGTTCGTATCTCTCCCACCCTTCGTTACCGCCTGGTTGCCCATCCCTGACGCATTCACTGATGCATTCATCTGGGCCAGAACCCCAGGTGGTAGGCTTCAAGATGCAGTTTTTTTAAAAAATGATTTTGGTGGGGTTTTTTTTTAAAGATTTTATTTATTTATTTGACAGAGAGAGATCACACGTAGGCAGAGAGGCAGGCAGAGAGAGAGAGGAGGAAGCAGGCTCCCTGCCGAGCAGAGAGCCTGATGCGGGACTCGATCCCAGGACCCTGGGATCATGACCTGAGCTGAGACTCAGAGCTTTATTGACTTAGGCCCCTGGGTGGCTCAGCAGGTTAAGCATCTGCCTTCAGCTCAGGTCATGATTCCAGGGTCCTGGGATCGAGCCCCGCATCGGGCTCCCTGCTCAGCCGGGAGTCTGCTTCTCCCTCTGCCCCTCCCCCTTGCTCATGCACTTTCTGTCTCCCTCAAATAAATAAACAAATCTTTAAAAAAGGAGCTTTATTGACTTTATAGAACCATTAAGTTAAGGACATTTTAAATGTAGAATTCGGTGGGTCCCACTTGAAGGTCCATTTTATTCCCCTGATCGAAGTCATGAATTTTTGTGGAATAGCAAATATGGGAGTTGGAGTTTAAGGAAAGAGAGGCCATGGTTCTGAGTTACTTAGGCAAGTGGCTCAACTCCTTAGAGCTAATATTGGCTAATAATAGCACTGACAGCATTCCAGGCACATGACCTAAGAGCCTATGAGGGAATTACTATTACCACCATCCCTGCTTTACAGATAAGACATTGGAAGGTCCGGTAGTCTGCCAGAGAGCTCATAGCTCTTAAGTGGTTGAGCCACAATTAGCATCCGGGTCTGTCAGCCTTCTAAAAACAGTATTTTTATTAAGATCTCTGTTTTACCTGCAAAGCATAATTTAAATGCAAATTTAAAGAATTAATAAAATACACACCCATGAACACACACCACCCAGCTTAGGAAGGAAAACATTACCAAAAAGGTGAAAGAAAGCATCACCATTTCCTTTTTTATCTACCAGCCTTATTGAATTCCACTCCGCATACCGCACGATTCACCCGTTTGAGGCACACAGTTGAATTATTTTGACTATATTCAGAGCTGTGCGTCCATCACCACAATCAGTGGGAGAACATTTTCCTCACTCCCCAAACAAGCCCGTGCTCATTAGCAGGCACCCTCCATTGCCAGGCCAAGGCAACCACGTCGCTCTGGCTTTGCTCCTTCTGGACATTTCATTTAAGGGGAGTCACACAGCATTAGGGCCTTTTGTGTTTGGCTCTCTTCACTTGTCATGTTTCCAAGCTGCATCCATGTTGTAGCACTTACTAGTACCTCGTTTTTTATTTTTTTAAAAATTTTTATTAATATGAGAGAGAGAGAGTGAGAGAGAGCGCATGTGCGGGGCGGGGGTGCAAAGGAAGACAGAAGCCGCACTGAGCAGGGAGCCCGATGCGGGGCTCGATCCCAGCACTGTGGGATCATGACCTGAGGGAAAGGCAGATCCTTAGCGGACTGAGCCACTCAGGCGCTCCTGGTACCTCACTTTTTAAAAAAATCACCACAGGAGATTCCATTATTTAAATTCTGCATACCGTTGTTCCATTCACCAGTTTACAGACATACAGACTGTAAATAATCCTCTGCTCTGTGTGGACATATGTTTTCATTTCGCTTGGATAGATTCCTCGGAGTGACATGGCAAGGTCATAGGATAACTCTTCTGTTTTCACCTTCAGAGCGACTGTCAAGACTGTTTTTCCAAAATGACTGCACCAGGTGGTGTTCCCGCCACCGGTGTACAAGGGCCCCATTTTCTCCACATCCCCACCATTTGTTATTATCAGTCCGTTTGATTATAGTCATCCTTATGGGTGTAAAGTGATCTCTCATTGTGATTTGATTTGCAATTCCCTAATGAATAGTGATGGCAAGTGTTTTTCATGGGCTTACTGGCCGTTTGTACATCTTCATGGGGGAAACGTCTGTTTGGCTCCTTTCCCGATTTTAAAATTGGATTATTTGTTTTATTGTTGAGAAATTATCTACATACCATAAATTCACCATTTTTAAAGATTTATTTATCTACTTTAAAGAGAGGGTGAGAACACATGGGTGCACGCACGAGCTGGGGAGAGGGGCAGAGGAAAAGGGAGAGAAATCCTAAAGCAGACTCCCCGCTGAGTGTAGAGCCCCACTTGGGACTCAGTCCCAGGACCCTGAGATCATGACCTCAGCCAAAATAAGAGCTGACTCAGCCACCCAGGCAGCCCATAAAGTCACCCATTTTAAAGTGTATAATTGAGTGGCGGTTAATATATTGGCCAGGTTGGGCAACCATCACCACCATCTAGTTTCAAAACATTTTCATCTCCCCTAAGCAACCTTCTAGGCAGTGACAGTCACTCCCCTTCTTTCCAGTGGCCAATGATGTTGAACACGGTTGCATGTGCTTGTTGGCTATTATAATAATCTTATTTGAAAATATGTGTTTAAATCTTTTGCCCATTGTTTAGTTGGGATTTTCATCTTTTCATTGTTGAGTTGCAACACTTCTTTATATAGTCTTCTTTACATTCCTCTTATACATGATTTGCAAAAACTTTCTCCCACTTTATGAGTTCTCTTTTCACTTTTTTTTTAAAAGATTTTATTTACTTATTTGACAGACAGAGATCACAAGCAGGCAGAGAGGCAGGCAGAGAGAGAGAGAGGGGAAGCAGGCTCCCCGCCGAGCAGGGAGCCCAACACAGGGCTCAATCCCAGGACTCTGGGATCACGACCTGAGCCAAAGGCAGAGGCCCTATCCCACTGAGCCACCCAGGCGCCCCTGTCTTTTCACTTTTTTGATGGTGTCCTTTGAAGCACAGAAGTCTTAATTCACGTTTAATTTTGATGATGTCCAATATATCTGTTTTCCTGCTGTTGCTTGTGCTTTTGATGTTATAGCTAAAAAACTGTTACTAATCCAGGTCATGAGGATTTGTGCTTATTTAAAAATTTTATACTGTTATCTCTTACTTACATTTAGCTCTTTAATCTATTTTTTAGTTAATTTTTGCATACGGTATGAGGTAGGGGTCCAGCTTCATTCTTTTGCATATGTCTAATGTCCCAGCACCCTTTGTTGATTTCTAGCTTTACAAATTTGTTAAATTGTTTTATATCTCAGAATTGGATCTATCTTGGTGAATGTTCCATGTGAGCTTGAGAAGAATATATATTTTGCTGTGGTTAGATGAAGTATTCTGTAAATGTAAATTAGATTACGAGATTGACAGTGCTGTCTGTTTCAGCTGTATCTTTACTAATTTTCCATCTGCTGGATCTGTTGATTACTGATAGGGGGATGTTGAGGTCTCTAACCACAATAGTGGATTTATCTACTTCTCCTTTCAGTTCTGTCAGTGTTTGCCTCATGTATTTTGATGTTCCGTTGTTAGGTGTATTCGTGTTAAGGATTGTTTTGTCTTGTCAGAGAATTGGCCCTTTTATCTTTATGTAATGCTCCCTCTTTTTTATTATTTTTTTAAGATTTTATTTATTTATTTGACAGACAGAGATCACAAGCAGGCAGAGAGAGAGGGGGAAGCAGGCTCCCTGCTGAGCAGAGAGCACGATGCGGGGCTCGATCCCAGGACCCCGGGATCATGACCTGAGCCGAAGGCAGAGGCCTCAACCCACTGAGCCACCCAGGCGCCCCTGCTCCCTCTTTTTTAAAATTTTTTATTTTTTATTAACATATAATGTATTATTAGCCCCAGGGTACAGGTCTGTGAATCGCCAGGCTTACACACTTCACAGCACTCACCATAGCACACACCCTCCCCAATGTCCATAACCCAGCCACCCTATCCCGACCCCCTCACCCCCAGCAACCCTCAGTTTGTTTTGTGAGGTTAAGAGTCTCTAATAGTTTGTCTCCCTCCCAATCCCATCTTGTTTCATTTACTCCTTTCCTATCCCCCAAACCCCTCACGTTGCCTCTCAACTTCCTCAAATCAGGGAGATCATATGATAGTTGTCTTTCTCTGACTGACTTAAGAGAAATTAACTTTTAAAAATATATTTAGCTTTATAACAAACATCCCCCTTAGGCATTAAACTTCCACAAAACACATCCTTTGCCCCTCATGAGTTATACTCTTGCTTCAAAAAAGTGAAAGAAAAACTTAAAAATTTGTTGAAAATTTGTTGAAGGTTAGTTGACCATGGAGTTAAGGGTCCATTTCTGAGC